GAGGTTCGGGCCCTTACAGAGGAGTATCCATTAGCCGCTGACGGTGCAGGCTGAAGGGGGGTTCGCCTGATGGGGCTTCGGTCTCTGGCCATGTAGGATGGAGGAGGAGGGGGCAGGGGGCGCCGCTCATATGGGTCAAGGGACCCCATTCCGAGACGTTCTCTGACCAGCGCTGAGGGAGGAGGTGGAGGAGGGGGGATGGCACGCCTGTCATCGTAGCCTGCACTGCTGTAAGGACGGGCCCTGTATTTCTCATAGTAATCGACCACCCCATAGCTGTCTCGCTCGGGATAAGCTGCTCGTCTCAGGGGAGGGGGTGGCGGAAGTGGAGGAGGATAAGTGGACATGCGGCCTCTGTAGGGGGTTTCAGGTCTCTCCACAGGGTAACGAGGAGGATAATAACCTCCTCTGCTTGGCGGAGGTGGATAGTACTCCTCCTCGGGTGCCCCTCTGGGTCTGCTTTTTGATATCTGAACATGTATGTGCTTTCCTGAGAGAAAGAAAAACATTGTCTCGCAAATCTTAAAAGGCTAAAAGCTAACAGTAACGAAACCCCAAACACCTCCAATCCTTTCATTCTTAAGAGTAGAAGAGCATGTTTACTTACCTTGAAAGTCTGTGTTATCCAGGCCCTTCAGAGCATCCATGGCCTCATCAGAATTGGGCATGTGCACAAAGGCAAAGTTCTTGACAATGGAGCACTCCGTGACTGTGCCATACTCTTCAAACAGATCACGGAGCTCATTTTCAAAGCCCCTTTCTACATTGGTTACATGGAGCTTCATAGGGCCCTGGTTCTTCCCTCTGCTGGGCTCCACATTCATGGGCCTACCGTTCAGCTTATACAGATGGAGCTCACGGATGGCTTTGGTGGCAGATTTGCGGTCTTCCATGTGGACAAAAGCATAGTTTTTGTATTTGGCACATTCTGTCACCGTGCCATACTGAGTAAACAAAGCCTCAACTTCCTCCTTCTGAGTGTCTTGAGAGAGATTTCCGATGAATATCTTCACCATTGTTGCACCAGTGTAGTCCTCTGAAAGCGGTAAAAAACAGGATGAAACACAGGCTACAATGTAGTAACATAGCTAACACCACCAGTGGGAGAGCAAATGCTGATAACGTCATTATCAGGAAATAGCTTGTAATCGAGGCAACTGTAAGCTAAAGAATCACCAGAGCGAAATCAACTATGACCTTTACCGTCGATCATATTTTACATTTTGTACGATTTCAAACACAGCTAACTTAGATATAGCTAAAGTGTAAGAAGTTGAGATGTTTGTATTTCCTGGCTAGTGATCTGCTATCTAGTTTCGTTTCATTTGAATGCTAGCTCTTAGCAGGCTAACTTTAGCAACAACGTGTTAGCCAACTTGTTTTATGTGACAAACCAAAATTAAATTAGAGTTGACTCACACAGTTATGCTTGTAAATCTATAAAACTATAGTGATAGTAAATGCAACACAAAGGAGCAAAAAAAAAACATAAAAACATCAACACTCACTGCTTGTGAACAGCGCCACAAATAACTCGAAACTGCAACTGAGACGCAATTGTTTGGACTGATGACATGCGCACAGAGAGGCATTTGATTGGTGGAGAAACCCGTCTTTCAAAAAGTACAGGCTGTAATTGGGCGAAGGTATGAAGGAAAGTTTAAACCGGAAAAAGTTTTTCATCTAACATCGTGGATGTGTAACGGCATATTTTCACATGTCTGCTTTGTAAAAGGTTTGCTCTCACCAGTTTATTCATATATTGTGTCAAAATAAGCGTATCATCTAAACATAGAAAAAAAATAAGTATTATTTCCTTTTCTGTATATTCTCTCTGTTCACTATGCGCATGCGCTGAAAATGATAGTTGTACGCGCCTCATGAGTGCGCGCAGGCCAAAAAGGTAGAGGAGAAATAGCCTGGACTATGAGGTGAGTTTTTCCTTGTTGTTTGTATGATGTAGTGGCATTTAGCTATGTATTTACTGACTCCTATTTCTTATTCCCAGAAGACTCTCATCCTAAAATGCCTTGCCTCCTATACAGACACAACTATTAGTCTACTTACCGGGCATGGACCTTTCTACATGTGTGAACATACACATGTGGAATATTTGAATATTATGACTTAGACTCACAAGACTAATGAATAACAGGATGTCCCTCTAGAGCCATTTTTTATGTCCTTGGATGTGCATTACAGGCTCAAATTTGGATGTCTGTACAAGTCATCATTTGCACATATCCCTAAACGTCCAAAGTAATCCATACATTTGGACATAACACAAATGTTACATGTCTGAGTTTCTGTTCTGCACCTATTTTGGAGGTCATCAGATCCCCAAAACAAGCACTAAAAAAAAGATGTCTGTTTATGTATGTGAAACTATTATCTGCCTGATAAAAGACGCAACTATTATTTTGACTTCTAGCCTCGAGGATCTGACTATGACGAGAAACGTCCAGCAGAGGGAGACACAGGCTGGTAGAAGGCGACTGCAGGGCCCAGGGTCTGTCAGGCATCCTCCGAGATGATTCAGAAGTCATAATGTTTTGGGGTGTTGTTTTCTCCTGCTTTTTCCTACAACGGCACATATGAACAGTAACAGAACCATGTTTCACGTGATTATTCTACGACTTTTATAATCAGTTTTCACTGAGACATTAAGTGGCCATATGTTTAGTGGCTAAACACATAGCATCAAAGCTAACAACATTGTTGTATAATATAATGAAATAGTACCAGTTAGGCAATAGAAATACATGTGGATATGCTGCAGGTGGACTAAGAATGGAAGAGAAACACTGATACTTTAGTTTATAACAAAGTGTATAATATGATGGCTCATAAGTCTGGACCTGCAAAGCAGCAGCTCACACTTGCCGTGTGTGTACTTGTAAAACCATAATCACTATTGCCTGAGTAGTACTATATTTAAATATTCTGCTGGTTGGCCAATTTCAATAACCTTCACAGATTAGTTGTAAATGTTTGCCCAGAAATTGATTAACCAGCTTTAACAAACCAATTGGAATTTTATATCAGCATCAGTTTCTAAAGATGTTATAGTTTTTTCTCTTGTTGATCAGTGTTAAACGGGGGTTGATTACTTCATAGTTTAGCCATCCATGCTCATGCTTAACACCTCTTACAGGCTAAAGAAATGATGCACCAGCTCCCGAGGGCTCCACAAACACCACGATCACGTAAATACCCTGCTGTCTCACTTTACTATGTAAAGTACCTTTGAGCCATATCCAAGTAGAATCACAATCACAGAAAAACAAGGGAACTGTAACATTTCACGGGTCCCTCGGAGCAGCTCAGTGGCTCACACTGCAAGACAGTGGGTGTAAAAGGAAATGTTTTCAACACAGAGGATGAAAAAGCCCCATTTGGACATCTACAATGGCTACATAAAGGTAATGTGGATGAGGTGCAGCTGTACTAGATGCTAAAAACAGCAATGGCCAGACTTCATTGATGTTTTCCTACAAAGGGACATTTATCTTCCTTTTATTTTTAAAGTGAAGTCATTTTAACTTACATAAATTACTGAGGTGTAATATGGATACTGAATACCTCAGCACTAACCTGACATGTTCTGGCTGTGTCAGGGTTAGGGCGTACGGTGTCTTAAAAAGAAGAAACGGTTTTGAAAAACCATATACCAAACAATGAAAAGTCCTTTATTGCCATCAGAACATGAGTGGGAAAACCAGAGACAAAGTCTGACAGAGTGAGGAGTCGACTGTACAACCAGCACCCACACCCACACCCACACACACACACACACACCCAGCAGCCTTTCAACAGGACATGAGGGATACACTTACATAAGGGAACACAGTACTCACACAATGAGGTACAAAGGTAAAAACAAACATACCAGATAGGGCTTGGTCCTCCACTCACACACATGCAACTGAACCAAGGTACAAATACTCAAGTGCTCGTTCATTCTCTAAAAACACAACATACAGGTGAGCAGAAATGTGTAACAGCAGCATCTGGGTCATCTCCAGTCAACCACACTCCCATTCATCTGTCTCGCAAAACCTTTGGTCATGTGGACGCTTGCTTGTCATGCACAATGTTGCCCTTTTAACAGCCTATTTTGTAAGTCTCTGAAGTGTATGAGCAAAGGAATGGGTCCCTTCCCGACTCCACTGATACAAACTGAGACGTTCTGGGCAGACGAGCAGAGGTGGGGGATGTTTCTTTTAAAGTCACAAATAAAGTTCTCTTCAAGGTAGAGTTTCTATGTTAGTTGGACATTCAGTGTGTACATTAGCAGCAATTCTAGTGAATGAAACAATGGCTTTGTAAGTCAGATTAATAACACCCTTTTCCTCATGCACAGGACAGGCACCACCTACAACTCGTTAGCTAAATGCCATGCAAGTTAGAAAAATAGACTGCAAACTCACAAGACAGAGAAATCAAAGTTCATCTCCAGAGAAGAGGTTGAATTCACTTCAGTTTTTTATTTCAGATTTTCTAAGATGTGGAAATAGCAACAAAAAAACTTGAGAGCGGTAACCAAGACAACAGTAACAACGTGAGCAGAGAGCCACTGAGGTTTCAAGTCCCTCTCTTACTCTGTTTGCCAACCCAGACTGCCAGGTACAACACAGACACCACGCTTCTGTTCCTCTACTTTGCACCAGGTGGACTGCGACTTGCGCGCACCCGGTGTGTGTTCCTCACGTGTGTACTTGTAAGTGTGGGCCCGTCTGTCATGTGGCTCTCATGTCATTTGAAGCTGTCCCAATCCCACAGTCTGCAGTCTCCAGGCCCTCCCCTGCTAAGCAGCACCCGTCCCACAAAGGTGGTTGCTCTCATGCGCATCCGGAGCTGTGCGCTGCATTGGTTTATCAAGACACTAGTGTGGCTGGAAGCTAGCACCGCCGCCCCCTCTGACGCCGAAAAAGAGGCACGGTACAGTTCTCTTTAAGTCTAAGTCTACAGTTCAAGTCTGCCGCCTGTCTGGGCTCAGCCTGTCCTGTCTCCAAGGCTGTACAGGTGCCACCCTGGACTCCAGAAAGACCCAAAACAGGTGAGAGGAGGAAGTGACACGGCACCCGAACCCCCCACCCCCCCAGGCCTGTGGATAAACAGATGCCTCACCATGTGACCAGCCCAGGGCTACATTACATCGTTACCTCACCCCTCCCACTTTAGTTTTGTGGTTGCCAATCTCACGGGCGCATACACATACACGCATGACCCCAATGCTGTCCATTAGACGCTGAATAAGGACAAACGCCTTGAATTTTACGTTTGGCACCAGACTTCTTTTTCCTCATGTTGGCCAGTCACTCTGTCTCCCTCGTTTCACTCATCACTCCCTCACAGGTTTGTTCTCTCCTTGGAAAAAAAAAAACAAAACAACAAAAAAACAAAAACACCTGGATGAACACTTCTCCCTCTTTTCCTCCTCTAGGGAAACAAAAACAAACTTAAAGAAAAAACTCAAGTTTTTTTTTCTTTTTTTTTTAATTCAAGGCACAATGTCTATCCATATTCCAATCTGTCTGTCTGCACTCCCAGGATCAGTGTTCGAACAACGCGTCACATAAGTGATTGGACTGTCTGCTCGTATGCCACTCCCTACAGCTTATACTTCTATGTCTGTACTTTTAACACTGTCAAGAGACATGTCTGTTTTGGTTGAGAGAGCGACCGCCGAGTGCAAACCACTGATAAACAATGAACAAAAAAAAAAAAAAAAAAAAAAACAAGTCATATCCCCCAGCTCCTTTTTGGCAAGCTAGCTAGTTGTTTTTTTTTTTCTTTAAATAAGCACTAAGTACTGATAGATAGGATAGCATACACCGTTAACGTGTGTTTTAAAGTAGATGCGTTTGTCGTTTTTTTGTACTTTTTCACTGTCATAGTATGAATTCAGGTATTTTGTCAGGTACTTTTCACTCATCAGTTTAAGGTTTAAGTTAATGCAAGCAGGGACAGAGTTTGCCATGGAGTCTTGCTCTAGACTTGGGTTCGCGAGGGGCAGGGCCGTCTCTTTACGACACCCCGTTGACCAAGGTCAGTGTCTCGCTGGCCGAGGTCATGCCGTTGCTGGGGGAACGCTTGGAGGGCGTTTGCTCATCCGTCTTGGCGCTGGTCCCGTTCTCCTGTGAAAAAAAAGGTGGGAAAAAGTGAGAAAGGTTCAATGTCAATAAAACTCAGGTTGAGGTCAAAGTGTGTGCTTCTGTTTGTTACCTTGGGCTCAGGACCAGCATGGTTTTCCTTCTGGGGCAAGTTCTGTCTGCTCTGGGACTCAGCACGGGATATGTAGTCTGCAACAGTCACTGAAAACATTGAGACCTGTTAGCTAGGACAACTGCTAGGCGCCACGCTGTAGGTTCTGATTTAAAATGTCCTGGTATTTCTTAAGTAATTAATACCAAACAATACAAACTAAAGCCAATCAAGACAGCAATTTAAAGAGAAACTTCCCCCCCTTACACTGATATAGAATACTTACTGTATATTGTTCATTCTGAAGGGGAAAATGTTGACAAGTAAATCACAGTGACTCACCACTCTCACCTGGCTGTCTGTCACGGCTGGCCGAACCTCCCTCTGGACGGCCAACGCGGTTACGGCGGCGGCGGCTGCGGTTGCGGCGCTGAGGTCGGGCTTCATCATCTAACATTCAAATGAAAAAAACATGAATTACTGTTTGATAATGTCACCAATTTTTGGTTTTCATTCCAGAGATTAATGGCATTTTTCCATTTGCACAACTCAACATTTTATCATGCGGGGCCGAGCGGGCACAGCTTGGCCTCTGTTTCCATCTGTCTCCAGTCCATCTTTTTTTTTTTTTTTCCCCCCTCTAACAGCACGGGGTTATTGTGCTCACTCTGTTCAGTCTACACTGAGTGGGGCCAAGCTCCGCCTTCAACAGCACTGGCTCATCTGCGAGGGAAAGTCCTTACACTCTTGGCAGTTGTCTGTGCCAACCCTCCCATGTGATCAAGATGCAGAAGATAAACAATGTCTTTTACAGTGCAGTGGAAACACAACCATGCTGCCTCCACCACGCATGCATCAGATTAAGACCTTACCCAGTCCGTTCTCACTGGGGCCAGCTTGGCTATCTGATTCTGCAGCAGCATCAATCACGCTGGGCTCCTGGTCATTGCGGCGACGGCGGGAGCGTCTACGACGGTCTCCTCCTGTGCCTTCGCTGACGTCTGTGTCGGCCAGATCTCCCTCACCCTCCAGCAGTGAATATGGGTTACTGTCTGGGTCCCTCAGCACTGAGGATGCACAGTAAATCAGTAAATTACACTTCCCTTCTGTCATTTCAATTTATGAGGTCTAGTTTTAACACACTGCCTTATTAAGGCCTCATACTGCAAGTATCCTACTTAGTGCAAAGACAATTCTACATACAGTGGGTACGGAAAGTATTCAGACCCCCTTAAATTTTTCACTCTTTGTTATATTGCAGCCGTATGCTAAAATCATCAAGTTCATTTTTTTCCTCATTAATGTACACACAGCACCCCATATTGACAGAAAAACACAGAATTTTTGACATTTTTGCAGATTTATTAAAAAAGAAAAATTGAAATATCACATGGTCATAAGTATTCAGACCCTTTGCTCAGTATTTAGTAGAAGCACCCTTTTGAGCTAATACAGCCATGAGTCTTTTTGGGAATGATGCAACAAGTTTTTCACACCTGCATTTGG